AATTGTAATTAAGGGTTAAAATAAATAAATTTTGTCTGCATTCTTAAGAAAATTTTATGCAAAGACGAAATTTAATGCAAAATTAAGTAAATAATAAATAAAAATTATTAAAAATAATTATTTAAACTCTGGCCTTTACACCAAAACCGAAATCAAAATGGCGGCAACAGAACATTTTTTTTCTTTTAATGAGTTGCCAATTTAGCTATTTTTTGCTAGATTTACGAACAATCTAGCTAAAAAAATCAAACAATTCTAATGGAAACAATATGATTTGGGTATTTTTATTAAAATGTCTAGCTGTAAATTTGAAATTTGAGTTGGCAACACTACTTTTAATTAATATATATATGCAGATGCAGATTGGATGTCGTTTGAATATTTTACATACTGTTGTGACAAAACGACTTACACGTTGCTATCTGATCTGGTTCATCTGTCTTTTAATATTATTATTCAAGGTTTGTTTTTCTACATTCTTAAATGATAATAGCACGGAAACAAACAAGGTTTAATCTCCAATGGCTGGATCCAGTTATTCATCCAGAATTCAATTTCTGGTTAGGAACTGTAAAAGATGGTGATACAAAAGCATTTTGCTGCATTTGTTGTAAAGTTTTCTCATTAAGTAACATGGGAAAGCGTACATTAGTATCACATGCAAATAGTTCTAGTCATGTGTTGAAATAAAAAGATTGAAGTCAGAACAAACTTCATTGATAAGATTTCTAACCCCAACAAATTCAAACTCTTCTAATAGTCAACAAAATGTGTGTGAAACGGCTTCTGTTGTGGAAAATACATCTAAGATCACTAATGAACAGTCTCTCACCAAATCAACATTTCTTAGCAACACATTGACACCTTTTGTGATAAAAGATGATGTAATAAAAGCAGAGATAACTTGGGCCTTGGCACTTGTAAAGAAAAAGATGTCACTCAATTCATGCTCTGATATTAAAAACATTTTCAACAAAATGTTCCCTGACAGTGCTATAGCCACACAATTTCAATTGGGTCTAGATAAAGCTTCCTATATAATAAATTATGGCATAGCCCATTATTTCAGAGAAAAATTGATTAATGCTGTTACAAGTTGCAATAATATTACTATCTCCTTTGACGAATCACTAAACAAAGTTGCTCAAAGAATTCATATGAATCTTGTGATAAAATACTGGGACAAGAGTAAAGATAAGGTAATGACCAGATATTTAAATAGTATCTTTCTGGATCATAGTACAGAAGATGACCTCTCTGCATTTCTCTATGGGTTTTCAGACATTCATCTTGATCTAGCAAATTCTTCATATCTGTATGGACAAACAAAATGTAAACATAAGTTTTCTGAATAAATTAGAAGATCACATGGAGGCACAGAATGTTGGTAAATCATTTGTGAAAATGGGAACACATGGTTTACATGTAGTCCATGGTGCTGTAAAAGCCGGTTTTAAAGTAGTAGATTGGAATTAGTTACCACTGCTACAGAATTTGCTAAAACACTCACCCACTCAGCATGCTGAATACATCGCTGTAAGTGGAAGCAGATTATTTCTCAAAAAGTTTGGTTTAACAAGGTGGTTGGAGAATGGAGAGTGCTTAGAACATGCAGCAGAAGTTGTTGAATCTGTGAAGACGTACATAAACAACAGTACAAAGTTGAAAGACAGCAAGGTGGCTACATTGTTCAGGCAGGCACTCAATGATCCCTTTATTGAAGTTAAACTTTTATTTTTTCAGTCAATATGTACAAAAAGTGAGAACTTTCTCACTCGATTTCAGAGCAACAAACCTTTTGCACCCTATCTTTATAAAGCAGTTGTTCAATTATTTATGAACCTGATGAGAAAGTTTGTGAAAAATGACAGGGTCACTGACAAGCAGTTTCTAAAAATAGATTTAAATGCTAATGAAAACTTGGTACTTCTGAAGAATTTGGATATTGGTTTTGGAGCAAAAAAGGTTTTAAAACAATTGAAAGTAAGCGACAAAGATATTCTGTGTTTTCTAAGTGATTGTCGAAATGTGCTGAAAATAATGACACAAAAGTTTATTGAGAAGGGACCTGTCAAGTTCAAATGTGTGAAGGCTTTGAGCAGCTTAGACCCAGAAAATCAAATCAATCAAATGTTGGAAAATTGTATTTCAATGTTTTACTGGAGGTTCTACATGATACAAACAGGATTGATGAGAAATGTGCTGTCAAAGCAAAAGAACAGCATGATATACTCTGCAATAAAGTGTCCATAAAACCCTATTCTACAAAGTTTGAGGACTTCATATCTGAAAGGCATGATGACAATGGTCTGGACACATTTTATTGTGAAATTATGAAGGATGATAGGCAACTGCAAGATCTATGGTCTAGTATCAAAAATTTCTCTTTCTTTCTCACATGGGAATGCAAGTGTTGAGAGTGGTTTCTCGGTTAATAAATCACTGTTGAGTGAAAATCTTAAGGAAGAAAGTTTAGTTGCTCATTGCTTAGTTTATGATGGGATCCATTTTGCAGATGGTATTGATCAAATAAATATAGACCAGAAAATGTTGTTAACAGTCAGAGGATCTGGACAGTGATATATTGCATCTCTGCAACAGAAAAAAGATATTCAGAAGCAGCAGGCATTGAGGGCTGAAGAAAAAGGAAAATTTACACAACAACTTAAGGATTTAAAACAACACAAGAAAATGTTAAGAAAAGATCACGAAAAGGAAGAAAAAGAGATTTAAATGAAAATAAATACACTTGAAGAGAAAAAGCTAAAACTACATTAATATAATAGTTCTTGTGTTTTGTAAATTGTAATTCATTTTTTTATTTTCTAATTTTCTGTATTTTGATTGTCCATTTTGTAAAAAAGTAAAAATATTTTACAATAAATTAGATGCATTTGTTAGCGAAACTATAGTATAAACTTACACCTATTCCTTTTTATATACAATCATTGATTTTTTTATGTAGGAAAAATGCTTATTTAAAAATTTTTAAATTTCACTTTTTGTTACAATTATGTTGCTGTTTAAAAAAAAAGTTGTTCTTTTTGTTGAAAGATGACTTAGAAACACGTAATTTTAGAGTTCATTTTATGCTACTTGGGGGACCCAAAAAAACCAGATTTTTTGTATAAAAACTTTATTTATTAACTTTTTTATAAAATTCCTTCAGTCACCTTCAAAGTACTCTCCATTAGATGCAATGCACTTGTCAAGTCTTTTTCCCCACTGTTTGAAGCATCTCTGGAATTCTTCAACCTTGATATCGTCCAGTGCTCTTAGGGAAGCTGTTTTTACCACCTCCACATCATCAAAACGCTTCCCTTTTAGATTTTTCTTCATTCTTGGAAACAGAAAAAAAGTCCACGAGACTAGGTCTGGTGAATATGGAGGGTGGGGAACAACAAGCCATCCCCGAGAGGCCAAATAGTGGGTCACTCGTAAGGCTGTGTGTGCGGGGGAGTTGTCGTGATGAAGGAACCTGTCACCTGCTTGCCAAAGTTCCGGGCATTTCCTTCGCACATCCTCTTGCAGATGTCTTAACACTTTTTTGGCTGATTTTTTTCAACATTTTCATCGTTTTGTGATGTTGAAGGACACCCAGAACTATGCAGGCGGAACAAAATAACAGTAAGCTCAAATATAAACCTACAAAATGATGCCATCTGCACAGCTGTTTTGTGAAGGTCTCTACTAACCCCATCTAGTGGAAGAACTCTCTACTATGTTTACGAATGGCAGCATGCTCTCAGTTCAGGTTTTTTGGGTCCCCCTTGTATTTGTTTATCAAAAGAATACTGTTTGTTGATTTTATGCTATCTTGTATTTACTAGATTTACATACAAATAATAATGATAAATGATGATAAAATAAAAAGCTCATGTTTTGTTTGTAAATTGCTTTATTTTTTCATTACATTGAAGTTGTGGATTCTACAGGATGTATGTTACTGTATTTTTTTAATGTGGCAGTATTTGAAGCATAACAACTGTGCAAAAAGAGGGATAGCTGTACTCATTGTTCACAGTAAATGCTGTTTTATTATGTCACTATTCCACACTGTAAGAAATGTGAGGGTCAGGGAATTTGGACAAAGTTTGTCAGGAAAAGTCAGGGAGTTCAAAACAAAAATTTGAGTAGGAACCCTGTAAATAGCAATGCATCTAATATTGTTCAATAAGGATAACTAACTTGGGTAGTTACTTGTTTATCATTTAAAAAAACGCTGCATTGAGAAAACAAACTATTTAAAAAATAATTAACAGGAATAACTTTTTCCTCGGCTGTGATGTTTGATCCATTTTTCTTTACAATATTTGCTTGAACACACAGATAAATTGAATGTAGATCCATATAATGTTCGCTAGACTTAGTTGAGCACCTATTGAATTATATCTATTGGAAATTGTTGCTACAGGATGGGCTATAACTTCATATGTATTATCGATGGCCAGTTGAGTCAAAACAGTATTAAAATCTTACAGTTAAAATAAAAAATATACCCCAAGTTTATCAAACCTATACTACTACAGTATACAAAATTACATGTGATGTATTAATAAATACATTTTCTTGCACTTTACTATTAATAAATCTGTAGCATTTTTTAAATTAGTCATGCTGTATTGCCTACAAAATAACTTAGCTTGTATAGTGTTACAGTAGAATACTACATATACTGTACTGTGTATATAGTATATAGTATTCTACTGTAACACTATACAAGCTAAGTTATTTTGTAGGCAATACAGCAGTACTACACTAGAATACTACATATACTATGTATATGTAGTATTCTAGTGTAGTACTACTGTATTTGTTGGATACAGAATACTATATTTTCGTCAGTCCCTTTGACCACTCCTAGAGATTACCACTTCCAAAATTTAGGAAAACTGGTCATCTTAGAGAGATTTTACTGTACAATATTGCAAAATATGAATAATAGTTTTCAAAAATTTGTTAGAGTATACATGCTTGAAACCAATAATTTTTCATTACAGACCAAAGAAGTAATTTCGGCTATTTTAAGCAAAAGTCGATCTGTTATAGCACTAGGAAAAAAGTTTTATTACGAGCAGTTGGAGAAAGATATACAATCTGCATATAGGTTAGTACACTATTTTAAATAAAATATTTTTGTTCATATATTTATTGCAAAGACAGAATTCCAAATAGCAATTTCAAATGAAACAAAGATTTCCATTGTTAATTAAAAATAAATCCTTAACAAAATATATATATTTTTAATTTAATCATTAATAATTATTCCAAATTATATTTATGCAAAATGGAACTTTTTGTTATGATAACAATGTTCATTATTGTTTCTCATCATTTACATTCAAATTTTAATTTTAATAATTATTTAATCTTAACATTTGTTTAGGGAAGGAGAAAAAGTAATGGTTGAAAATCTAGAATTAAAAGATGCTCAAGAAGGCCTCTCAGCTTTTATAGAAAAAAGGAAACCGGTTTGGATTAATTCGTCAGAAAAATTCAAATAACCATTTTTGTCTTAAAATTCTAAACTTTATATAAGCGACTTTATTAAAAGTCAAATATTGAATATATACTCTGTATATCTGAGTTTATAAAAGTTGTAACAAATTAAATAAAAAATTGCATGTAAATTGTGTGCATGTGTCAATAGCATTTAAAAGATAAACAACTCTATGGATTAACAAAACTATGCAAAGCAATATATGCCAGATTAAAATTTTTTAAATTTTAAATGAAAGCTTTTAGTAACAAACCTAAAGGAAGAAGATAGATACAAAATTTTAATCTTGTGTTTAACTTATATTTTTACAGTTTTGAACATATAGATTTTTAGCCAAAAAATTTTTGTTTTCCCATATTTCAACTTTGATGAAATGGTTAAAGTATTACAATAATTATTAAAGTTACAAGAGTTATTACAATAATTCAGGGCCTGAAATTTTTGGATAAATAATTAAATTGCTAGAATTGAAAGTCAGTAAAATGGATAAATCTGATAAAATTTGTACAATTTGTTTAGATGAAATTTCTATCAGACACATGTCTTTCTTATGGCAGAAAATTTGATAAGATTATTGGTTTGAAGACACAACTTGGTTGCTAAATGAGAGGGGGATGTGAGTGTATCCAAGTCAGTGTCCTTTGCAGCTGACTTAGTCTCAAAGTCGGCTTTTTCATTTCTAAGTATATCAGTATGGCCAGGAAAATATATAAAAGTTATCTTATTTACAAGATTTTTATATGGTGCTGGATATATGTGATTTTATTGCTATTGCAATTGGGATTTAATAGAATTTTTAGGACAGACTGAGAATCACTGTAAACATGATACAGTGATTCTGTTTTGTAAACATGACAGTGTTTTGTTTAAACACTGTAAATCACTTTAAACACTTAGAACAAAACACTGTCTATCGACATTTCAAGCTATCTATCAAGCTGAAAAAGATGCTGACTACCAAACTGTTCAGTGGGTCACTTCACTACCTGTTTGGCAGTGAAATGACCCACTAAACAGTTTGGTAGTCAGCATCTTTTTCAGCTTGATAGATGGTGGTATGTGGGAAGTATTTGTACTTTCTAACATATTTTGGGCAAAATATGTCAATTTGGAAGAAGATACAGATACTTGAGCAGACATGAAGGGAGCTTTTAGACCCATCTGTGTAGATATTAATGTCTGCATGGTTATCCATGGAGGAAGCATATGACACCAAATATACCCTGGGGATAACCTTGTTTACAGGGTTTAGATAGTAGGATACAGATCACAGATAGTAGGGTAATTGCAATGTGGTAGCATATGAAGAGCCATAGATAGGAATAGAGACTGTTGTTGAGCCTTGATGTTTGTAGTTCTGATGTAGTAGTGTAGAATCTTTTCTACAATACATAGTGGCGAAGGAAGGAACTCTGCTAGTATCAAAGGCATTAGTGTAAAACTCTATATAATGGGGCAATAGAACCAATGCTACTTTTACGCAGCCTCTAGCTGGGATCATGTAACTAGTAAAAATTCAGCAGCAGTAAATTACTCTCTCTTCAAAGACAGTTTGCCATCAGAATTTCAAAGTGCTGCAGAACTGTTTCTACTGCAACAAAAAGGTTGCCATAGAAATCACACAGGATGCAAAGAACAGTTACTCATAGATTCAGTTATTCTATGGCAAGCACACAAACAACACAGAAACATACACATGGCATATATAGATTACAGAAAAGCATTCGACAGCATTCCATACAGTTGGCTGTGTGATAATCTGGATGAACTCCCAATCTGAGTTACATATTTTAATACACCCTAAATAAACCAAAATAAATAATTTAACTTAATTTTCCCTTAAAATGTTTAAAACAATGAGAAAATTTGGAATAAAATTAATATAACCTAAAAAGGTTATAAACTTTAACATCCTGCAAAAATACTCTATAACGCAACATTTAGCGAGAACTGAGGGTGTTTTGCTTCCTTCCTCCACACATCTTATCTTAGAATATTTCCAACCCCGGTCCGAATGACGCAGCGATTTATCTCGTCAGATGATGCATCTCTGGGAATTGTTATTGTGAAATAGTCGGTGATAAAAAGGTGGGGTTGGATAGAATTGGGCTGTTCAGCCCAGATAGAATTGCCATGTAAAGGCAGTTCACGAAGAGAAGGAACATGTCATAGGGACCGGCAGATTATGCCATATCGACTCGTCCAGCCTACTCATCAGGCCATGGAGTGAATATGCCACCGCCTTACTACTAAACCATGGTAATATGATTTATTGTAAACTCTCTCTCTCATACAGATCATAGTTTTAGGTTAGACATAGGTTTTATGTTTTGTTGTTTATTTACTTGTCCTTGTTATTTTGGTCTTCTGTGATTAAATTGTTGATTTTATACTAAATGACCTTCTTGTCTGGTTTATTTCTTATGCACAACCCCACACAAAGTTTCACTCAGGTTCTGTTAAATTAAACCATCCAGTGACAAAGTGAGCAGTCTAACAGATCTGACGATTAGAGGGCCTTGACCCTCGTCCGTATTCTCACAGTTGCTACATATTCTACACATGTACAAAATACATCCATCACTCATTGCATTCTTCCAAAACACTATGCAGCACTGGAGAACAACACTACATCTTAGGGTTAGTAACACTTCCATACAAACAAACAAAATATTCATTAGGCGAGGAATTTTTCAAGGAGATTCCTTGAGTCCTCTCTGGTTCTGCCTACCCCTGAACCCATTATCCAACATGTTAAAAAACATGCAATATGGCTACAATATGAAAAACCAACACAGTTTACGCTGTCACATCTCATGTACATGGACGATATAAAACTTTATGCATCCACACAGAAACAACTCATCAACTCCTACAAATCACACATTCATACACCAAGGACATACAAATGGAGTTTGGCTTAGACAAATGCAAAACACTTTACACAGAAAAAGGAATCCTGAAGAAAGAAGATTTTGCACTTGGAAATGGGGACATTATTGAATCCATGGAAGAGGGTGAGTTCTACAAGTATTTAGGATTCCAACAGGCCAAACTAACAGAACATACACAAATAAAGCAAAGATTAATTAAAGAATACCAAAGTAGGTTAAACGCTATACTTAGAACACAGTTAAATGCAAAACACACAGTTAAAGCAATAAACACATATGTCATCCCAGTACTCACATACTCTTTTGGAGTTATACATTGGACTCACACAGATCTCGAGCAACTCCAAAGGAAAACAAGAACAACACTTACTAAGCATAAACAACATCATCCTAAATCCGCCACAGAAAGATTAACCCTTCCACGTAAAGAAGGCGGACGTGGCCTGATTGACATAGTTAACCTTCACTACAAACAAATACAGTCACTGCGAGAGTTTTTCTACAAGAAACAAGAAACATCACAGTTACATAAAGCAGTAACTCTAGCAGACTCAAATAACACACCATTAAACTTACACTCACATCATACAGACATGACACAACACATAAAAAGCATAGACACCATCAAGCAATCGTGGGCTCGAAAGGCACTCCATGGCAGGCATCCTTATGACCTGGCCCAGGATTTTGTTGACAAAACTGCGTCAAACAGCTGGTTAGATCGGGGATGCCTCTTTGGGGAGACGGAAGGATTCATGATTGCCATACAGGATCAGGTCATAAATACTAAAAACTACAGAAAACACATACTCAAAGATACAACACTCACAAATGACACATGCAGAAAATGTCACATCATGCCAGAAACTATACAACACATCACTTCTGGTTGCAAGCTCTTGGCACAGACAGATTACTTACATAGACACAATCAAGTAGCAAATATAATACACCAAGAGCTTGCAAAGAAACACAAATTGGCAGACATCCACGAACCATACTACAAGTATATTCCACAGACAGTATTGGAAAACAACACGCACAAAATGTACTACGACAGAGCCATAATCACAGATAAAACAATTTACCACAACAGACCAGACATCACACTCATTGACAAACACAATAAAATCACATACATTATAGACATAGCCATTCCAAACACTCACAATGTACAAAACACATGCACTGAAAAAATTAGCAAGTACACAGAACTCGCCCAGGAAATAAGGCATCTGTGGAGGATGGATAGGGTGCTTATTGTACCTGTTGTTCTCTCCTGTACAGGTGTGATACCACACACACTACACAAAAGCCTGGGAACATTACAATTGAGTAGAAATACATACATCACACTACAGAAGGCCACTATATTGAATACATGCCACATTGTTAGGAAATTCCTGAATACAGACACACACACTGACACACTTTAATTTTAGTTTTGTTTTGGTTGCTATGCCTTGACTTTGATCCGGCATAGTACACAGCCACCGGTGTGAACCAAGTATAACTCACAAAACATAATAATAATGTTAATAATTAAAAAATAAAATTCTTAAAGTAAATTGTTCATTTGAATTCATTAAATTTTTATATTTTTAAATTTGTTCACATAAAATCTTTTATAAATAGTAATGCATATTAATTAACTAATTAATAATTGAATATTGGGAACTCAGCTTGTATTGTTTGAGTTCTATACTCAAGCTGATAAAAGATATATTTTTTAAAATTTAAAGAAAATTCAGGAGTTTTCGTCCTTTTTGTGCATTAGTTTTTTGATGATTTGTCGTATATATCAAGACTTAGACATAAAAAATTGTTCCCTTTTTTTGCAGGAGCTAAATCTTTGAATAAAAAAGAATTTCTGGAAGATGATTGCTTGACAGTCAATAGTGACAAATTCACTTACAATTTAGCAACAAATGAAGTGCAGAAGATTAATAGTTTTTTAGACAGATCCAGGCAAAAGGGTTAATTGAAACAATTTCTAAGGGGCTGTCCATAAATTACGTAAGGGCAATTTTGGCCATTCTAGACCCCCACCCATCCCTGTATAAGAAACCATAATATATTCTTTGATTCTCCTTCTCTACCCTATCTTACATAATATTTAGGCATGATTTTATAGAAAGATCTTAAAAAAAATTTTTTTAATGAAACTCTTAAACCTTAGGTCCAAAATATATAATTATTCCACTCAAACTGGAAACAATAATGTTATTTTTCTTCAAATTGTTGTATACAGTTATATAATAATTCT